TGTCTACTGCTTGTTATTCATCATTAACATCTAAATTGAGACCTGCTGTAAGTGGGTGAGACTACTGGCACTTTTCCAGCACTCGCTGGAATGAATTTTGCCCAGTTAGCAGCTGCTATGCAGCACTCCAAACACACATCCACATGAATAACACACTGCGTTAAATTTACATTATACTTCAGTATCCACTTATAAGTTACTTTCAGATCAGCATAAATTCTAAGCGTTTTGCAAGCAAGAAGCTGAGTTCCAAACCAAAGCAACCACAGATTATTTTCCTTCAGGAGTGAAGAGCTCAGCCAAAAGCTAGTTTGGTTCCTCTTCACTGCTAGATGATTTCTGGTAGGCAGCCTTATTCCATAGCGTCCCAACTGAGAAGACTCCCCTTAATGGTTTTAACCACTTCCGCCGGCCAAGAACGAGTAGGCCAGAAGTCACATCAGGACAGCAGAGTAGGGTCAGTAAAAAAGCAGAAGCAGCAGCCGTGCTACAAATTGGGCAAGGGGCAGAAGTAGGCAGAAACCAGCAATGGCCACAAAGAAAGTGTGAGATGAGACTTGGAGGTTATAGGAGGTGGAGACTGCACAAAGGGATTCATACTAAGTGGGCAAGAGGGGAGGAAAAAAAATAGAATAAAAAGAAAACAAACACATTATTACAACATTTCTTTCTAGATATCCACCTTATTCCTGGCTGTAACATTGCAACTTTAGGAGATTAATTCAGGTCACTTACACATGTGCTCTCCTTCACTCATCACAATTAATAATTCCAAAAACCTCTTTCCTGGTCCTCAAAGCAGCAGTCCCCTTAGGAGGAATGGAGGCAAAACAAATCATTTTGGCTACCTGAAGTCCCCAGCTTCCCTCTTCCCGATCCGTGTGGAAAGGCGTCACGTGCTCATGGGGTAGGTAACCAACACCTTCACCACAGACACTAGTCTCATGCTTGTCATGGTTAGTTCCCTTGCCCCAAATAGTCACACACTTTGTGGTTCGCCCTAACAGCAGGGGACGAGACAGCGCTGGATTAACCTGGCACTCAATAAACAACCAGCAAGGTTAGTGTTCAGGGCACATTTCTTCAGCCTCAGCATGACTCATTTTCCTTCGCCAGCTTCCAGGCGGAGGTTGGAGCCGTAACCGGCTCGGGATTCAGGCACGCCAGCAGCTCCAGCTATGGCCAGGGAGGAAGGTAACAGGCAAAGGCAGCGGGAGAGGGAGCAGCGCGCGCGGCAGGGAAGGCTACGGGACAGCTGGAGACACAACTCGCAATTTAAGACAAGGTTAAACAAAGTGCATGGATACTGCTCTGCGGTTGAATAAAGTCAGCCAGAACCAGACTGTCAAAAGCAAGGGGAAAAAAGAAAGAAAGTCTAGGCAGGGCGAAAAAAAAAAAGCGCCAGTAATCGCACACCCTTCTCCTTCACAAAATCCTTTTTTTTTTTTCCACCCCCAAACAGGCCACTCGACTGTTGTTTTTAGTTTTTGGCTGCACAATATTTTAGGAATAAGTTAAGTTTTTGCCTGAATCAGTTTCTGTACATTTTCTACATGGTTGAGCCTGAAACAAAAATGATCTAAATAGGTATAATAATGATACAAGAAGTACAGTAACCATTTCCATTAGGTGAACATTGCAAAAATAAAGGTCTGTGCAAAACTGGGTAGAACTATTGGTTTAAAATTAACTCTAAACAATTCCTAAATCTTGAAATGAAACTCTGTGTGAGACTATTATTTTGCAACAGCTCTGTGTTTCCAGCTATATTTGCAGTAAGTTTATCCTTAAATCTTAGAAACTATCCCTATACAACATCATGGATCAGCATTATGATTTTGAGGCATTTCACGATATATTGTCTGGTAGAGTATTTCACAAGACACCAAAACAGTTCAAGATTTTAAACAAGCTGGGGCAACTTCGTGCGTTTCACACAGAGCATTTCCATTAGTGCTATCTTCTCCTGGCTTTTATGCTATGGCCATTAGTGCAGCACGTGCTCAACCCAGAAACTGCAGCTCGCAGCAGGACAGAGCCCATCTCCCCAACCTACCTACCTTTAGGGCAAGACACGAACACACCATGTCCACCCACTGTGTAGAAGACCAGTTTATTCAGACTGGTTATTAATGTTTTACTTACACGGAGTTATTACAGTGGACTTCTCGACCCATCTCTGCTTACAGAATCCATGCAGTTCTGGACTTGACGTGACCGCAACGCTACTTTTCCCTCCTAAGCTAAGGACAGCGGGAGGGTTCCAACATCCTTCCTGGATGCTAATTTAATCCTGTAAAAACTATGCCCTCTACTGATGCACGAACACGATTTACTGTGCGATGCTCCAAGTTCCTTCAGGCAGGCCCTGCTCAAGGGCCATCCTCTTCGTGAGAGCTGCAAAGAGAATTACAAGAAACAACAGTTCTCTTGAAGCCAGTGAAATGTGTTTTATTTAAGCCACTGCTAAAACAAGGACAAATTTAGTGCAACCTGGAGTTCAGAAACTGAAAACTGAATATACTGTTAAATTACTAAAATGGCAAAACTCGTCACCATTATACAAGACCTTCATATCCATTGAGTACAATTACATAAACATTTATAGTTATTCAAACTGCTTTTGGTATACAATTGCATCACTAGCTGGGCTGTGAATTACTGTAACACTGCACAAATAAGCGGCAGTTCCAGCAAATTATAATAAATTTTAGTATTAAATATTATTCGGACATTACAACAGAACAGAGGCCCCCCTAAAGCTACAACTCGGGCTATACAACAGGAATGTACAGAGATGGTACAAAATAAAGTGACTACAGTGGCCTGTTCTCTCTTCAGAGCCCAAGCACAGTGAGAGCTTGACAGTAGTGGCTCTTGCTGAAAAGCTAAAACTCTTGCACTAAAAAGAAACTCATTCCCCAAACTCGTCATTGCAAATCACCTTTAAAACTAGCTCTTTTTTTGCGCTGGTGACAGTGTTCACTATGCACCGTGTTCCCCTCTCCACCTCGAGGCGTCTATGTATAGAAAAGGTCCCATGTTAAGTTACATTAAAAAATGTAACGCTGAAAATTTGATATTATCTTTGGGAGACCCAATTAGTCTCGGAATGTGTGCGTTTAATTTATACAAGCCTTTTAAGCTCCAGAACAAAAATGCTACGCAAGTTACGTTTAAGTAAATGGCCTTATCTTTTTCAAATCCTCATTGTGAGCCAGTAGACAGTCATTAATTTCAGCATATGGTTTTGTTTTTGTAATGTTAAGGCTTTAAGTACACTTTTGTATTATTTATGCATCTTTTTCTCCATGTTTAAAGTAGTTTTAAGTATGGTCACTTTCAGTGCTAACATACAGAGGGACTACATTTTCAAAGTGCTTTTCCCACACAACCTTACAAAGCGTAGCAGAACACTTCCATCATACACAACAAATGCTTTTATGAAGCGTTTCATAAAAGGCATTTTTCTGAAACAATGTATATTTTACTCAAAATTGAAATTGTATTTCCAAGTCCTAGAGGAAAAAAAGAAAAAAAGCAAAATGGGACAAACTCTATGTGCTTTTTTATAAAGCAGATTTGTCTGGTTCAAACAGACTGAAACTTGCCTGTTGTGTTTTTCTTCTGCATTTGTGTTCAGGAGTTTTAAATAAATTCAGTAATGGTGTAAGTCAAAATTCGGTTCTAATAATTGTGCCAAGATGGTTTAAGGCTTTTCCATTTTTGATATATGACAGAAAGAAGGCAGTGCCTAAAGAATGCACGTTTTAAATTTTATAGAAAACTTCTGCTCTTCAAAATAAAAATCAAGTGTTTTTACAACACATTTTTCTTCAGTAAGTTTTGAAGCTCAGCTACATTCCTTCAAAGCCAAAGCTCTTCTTAATATAACACTGAGTTACATGATGTATTTTATCCAGTCTGAAAACATTCCTTTTGCAAAAAATAAAAATCTTGAATGTAACTATTGTCTACTTGAGTTTCTATGTCACTGCAAGCTTTCAGAATTGCAGTCTTCTGCTTTCCTTGAGGAAAAAAGTGATTAAAAAGACGAAAAGAAAAATCTAAACTTTTTAAAATCTAAATTATCAAATAAAGCAGTTAACTTTATCTAAACTGCCTGTTCCTGATTTTTTTAAATCAATATATAGGTAGCTTTGCACATTTATGCCTTCAAATTCTCTTTTGATTTTCGACATGCATAGAAACACTATAGTAATTTCACTAGATCCTTATTTTTGAAATTTCACTTCAGTGGGAACGCACGGGAAAAAACAACAGCAAAAAAAAAAAAAAACAGTTTAGCTCTGAGGCACTGTTCTTAATATTTTACGTTCTTGTCATTTAAACTTTAAACTCTGATTTAAGTCTGTAAGTGCATCATTGCTCTGTTAAACAGAAGATGTGAAAACCAAAAAATGGGTTTCAATTTTTTTTTTGTCTTAATCTAGAACATCCTTTAAAAGGAAAAGAAATGAAACTGGAGGACGTAAAATAAACAAGAAAAGACACAGGGGTTTCGTACAACCCCTCGAAATTTGTTACTAGCCCTGTCTTCCAATACAGAATGAAGAAAACCTTTTCCCCCCTCCTTTCTCCTGGTGCTTAAAACAGCATATTCCTACAGCAAGGCAGAACAACTTGTAATGTTTTCCATTCTTTCCTATTACATGGCATGTGTAGGTCTTTCAATCAGGGAAGCGATACATAAAGTGAAGTCATCAACTAGGAACATAATACAGAATTTTAAGTTAAAAGATTCGGGTTATATGTCCATACAGGTGATATTTCATAAAAATCGATACATATATAAATGTATACATGCGTGGACATGTGTACACACACATGTGTGCATCTAAAAACTTAAAAATTTATTTTGAAAGTTAAACTTTGGCAGGTTCAAGGCAGGACTCTTTTTCAAATCTAGATGATAAAGGAAGGACTAAAATATGCCAGGCCTCTGTAAAAATACCTTTAATGATCAGTGAGATGCCTTCCTCAAACAAAGGCACTGTAACAAGAGTGCTATTGAGCATGATATATTCTAATAATTTTGAAGGTGGGGCATGAGAATTCAATATATTCCACTAAAATTCACAAATAGTTAAGGACTCCATTTCTTGGGCTCTGATCCCAAGACAAGAGATTTACACGCCTATCCACAGTATATATTTATTTGAAACAGCTATTAAAATTCTTCTATTCACCCCAAATACGTGCCATTCCATAGTTTCCTTGCAAGTGATATGAAAAATCATATGAGGTGACAACGTTGTAAGTACTGGCAAGTGCCTTATTCTCTCAGAGGATTAAAAAATAATAAAAAAAAATCAAAAGCACTTTCAAACCACAGGATATGTAAAGATCCAGATTTCCTCTCCAATGAAAATGCAAGTCAGCAGCACTGGTACAAACCCTTAGACATGAGTCCTAAAAAGAATTGATTAAAAGTGCCTTAAAAAAAAAAAAAAGCAAAGGTAGTTAATGGGGAAAATTACTACAAATGGATTTCTTTTTTTTTTTTTTTTTATCTCTTAGTGAATCGTCTCTCTTCACCAGCTCTCAGGTGCTCATGGAGAAACACGGTTAAATTTTCAGTGAAGAAAATGTATATACGGAGGCAAACATAAACAAGCAGATAGGTCAGAAGATGGTGAATATTCTCAAGAAAAAGCTGTTTGCTACTTTTAACATTTGTGTGAGACAAACACACACATTTTTCGGACACAAAATTAATGTCATAGAAATACTTATACGCAAAAAGCTTTAGTAAGGGAAAAAGAAAAAGCCATTTTAACTCCATAGGCAAGCCCTGGCAAACCTTGCTGAAGCCAGATGAGGAGGCTACCACCAGCTACCCATTCTGCCCTGCTGCCAGCAGTCATCCCTCCACAGCAGTCAACAGAAGGGAAAACACATTTCAGCCTCAGTGATTTCAGTGCAGAATCAGGCCAAGTTAAACTTGACAAAGGCAACTATGGAGCGACTACGACAGGCTCCTTGGGCCTGTCCAGGTTTCCTGCTGCCAATGCTGCCCATGGGCAAACAACAAGAATTTCTTCAGGGTCTGCAGCAAGAGCTCCCTGTGTTAGTGCTACTGTGAATTTAAGCACAGCTCAAAGGAGGAAAGAGAGCTACCCCGGCACAGAGGAAAGCCTGAATATCACGGTGTCATCTCCCAGCTACTTGCACAGACAAGGTAGATCTTCATAAACTATTTCAATGGTCTGGACACAGCAGTAAATACAAGTGATGAGTGCGTGGACAACACACATTTTGGACTGGATAAACACATCATGTACACAGCATCACAAAGCACAGCACAGCTATTTGGACTTTCACCTCAAAGCCTTTTAAATGCTGACAATTACTACAACATTCATCAGCTAGGTTTTACATTACATATCCGTGTTGTTGTCTTTTAAAAGGGGAATGAAGCAAAGAATGTTGCATCTTTGGATTTTTTTCAGACGTTTTCCAGAAGCCAACCAACCAAAGACTTATTTAGGATTTGTTCCCTGTCAGATGCCTTCTCCATTATTTCGCAGTACTTCAGCACTGCCTGCAAGAGATCTCCCACTTTCCAATCTCTTTCTCGCAGTCTTCTGGAAAGCTGAAGGAGAAATGGCAGAAATAAAAGCAAATATTTATACTAGCACATCCGAATTAGGAGTTTTAGAAGTTCTTCTTGAAACATTAGCTCATAAGAGAACAACTGTAAAGAGTTAATCATTAATCCCACAGCTATAAAAACAAAAACTTCCTCAAAGATCAAGCATTTCTCTTTAGGGCAGTTTTCACAGAATTTTTTTCTGGAGGGAGTGACATTTTCAAATGATGTGGTACCACAGGTATGAGGGCTGTGGTTCATCAAGACTGTAAAAAACAGGAAATTCTGAACACAAGATTAAGACATTCGCTACCGCTCCCATCCCAATAATGCACATATAAAAAGACAAAACTCAGTCTTAATAAAAGGATGTGGATTTTGCTTTCACAACATATAGTGTGGTTTGGGTGGCACAGATGCTACCCTCAAAGGAAACAGTGTCTTCAGAGTTAGGAAATTATAGCATCTTAGGAGAGAGGGAAAGGTAAGGATTAAGTTCAACTACTACTTGGAAACAGAGGTCGGTGTAACTGAAAACAAAGTTTCACCAGGGGTTCAGGCAAGTAACTTTCCTTGATTACGTGTCAAGACTGGCTGTAAACAGGAGAAAACCTACCCTAAGTCATGGATGAATTTGTCCTTTTGCTTAAGAATGAAAACTTTTTTTTTTAAAGTAATTACATATATATTTGTGTATGTGTGTGTGCGCGCACGCATATACATATATATGTATTTTTTATATATATACATATTCTGAGCAGCTTTCTGAATAACTGTCAACACTGCATTTAATAAGAAATTCACACCATATTTACCGCACTTATTTCTGGAACTGTGGAATTTTATTGCTTTTTATAGTCTTCATCATGATTCAGTAAAATAGATCCCAATTTACCCAATAAAGAATTCTTAAGAACTCTATTAAATCTGTCAAAATGAGATACAAAAAATAATCTAAAGTGAAGAGAAAGACAATTTCACTCTGCTTCTTCTCCTAGGCAGTGTTGAGGCTGCAGCAGTGTCGATAAAGGCACAGTTAAAAATGGCACGGAGGGTGGACATATTTTAGTCTGTATTTTTAGCTGGAGAAGAGCCACTCTTAGAAAATATGTATAAACAGCAATTAACTTCTTATAGGACATACTTGAACAAGCTAAAAAAAAACGCAGACATCTAATGTTATAGCAAAGATACAGTCAATACTGAAATGTCTTTTCAGGGCAAAAGAACCCACATATATTCTACATAAGCATACTCCGAAAATAATTGAAATCTGAAATTGCTTTTGTGAAGTATTTGTGAAATTTAAAATATACCACAGGAAACAAAAGCTTCATTGTCAACAACACAGCTCTTTTGTAAAGAGCGACTGCTGGTTTATAAGAAAATGGCAATTAGTTATGTCAGAGAAGTACGGCTAATGTCCAAACACCCAATTAGTCAAATTTTACTGATTTTACAGTCTGATTTTACAAATCACATTAGAAGACACCGTCATGATTAGACGCACAGATCTGGCTTCACTGATCATGGTTATAATTTATAGTTCAAGGATCAATCCCCCGAATTCTTTTTCCGACTGATCCGTTTCCAACTAATAGGTAAGTGAAATACTGAAGTTTTTTCAAAACAGGTAAGATCTGATTAAAACTTGAGTATGTATGTATAACTTTACATTTACATTTATTTTAATCCAGACACTTGCATATCCCGAATGCCAGGTTTTCAGACGGTCACAAACTGTCTATTCCAAGGTAGAAGTTTCTTTAGCTCTCTATATATTCAAATATATTTCACTTCAAACATTAGGATTTATGCTATGCTGAACAGGACAGAGAGAAGTTCAATGCCTGGATAAGACTTCATGCCAAGTTTCAGCAGCTAGGACTTGGTCAGGTATGTGCTAGTGGTACGTTTGTCTTTTATACAGCATCATCCTCTCGTCACTGGGCGTAAGTTTTTCTTCTCCTCTGGAACCTACCAACTGCTTTCAGTAAAAATACTTGTTTTCAATGTGATCTACAGCCCAGACTCACTCCCCACATTGCTTAGGCACCTTAGCAAAAAAAACCCTTTGAGATGATCTGAAAAGAGCTGAGAGGGAGCAGCATCTGTAAGGGTCAGCTCGGGTTTGTTAGGCTGCAGTGCCCTCTGGAGGTGCCCGACTTTCCTCCTCACGGCGCCGGGAAAACAGCTCCGAACTCCAGAATCCCAACTCGGCCAGAGCTCACTGGGCCCAGGCTGGGAGAAGCTGAGACTTGTTTTGTACTACTCAGTCTTTCACCTTAATTAATACAATCATGAATGAAGACTCTATTTGCAAAATAAACTTATTACATTACAAAAATTCCTTCAGAAAATCCGCATTCTTTAAGCTTTAGATCTGATGATTTGTCTTCTTTTAAAGAAGAAAAAGTGATACCTACCTATGTCCTAATTTTTCTATACTAGGTCATTCAAACAGGAACAGTGTTTTAAAACCTAAATATTTTGTTTAAAACACCAAGAAATTATAAGATATGCCGAGTGAGACTGTCACCACATATATAAAGTTCTGGAGTTTGGGAATTTCTCACCATAAGCTACACTAAGTGGACAAGGACACAAATCTAAAAAGGCAGTATTAACACATTCTGATTGGGAAATCAGATAGCATAAAAAACAGATAATCCTTCCTACCCCTCCTCTCTCCAAAAAGGGAAAAATAACTTTAAAATAATTGCATTTGGAGAACTAAAATAAATAAAGCTAAGAGGATTAATTTATTACTTCCACATTTTAGGGACTACATGACTGAAGCCAGCTTTAACGTCCTGAATTATTTTTAGCTTTCAATTAATTATCAATTTATGTCTGAAGTCAAAGTAGAAAAATGTTACAATTTTAAGGCGCGCATGCACATCAGCCACTTCTGCTTTCTAGAGTGCTCTTTTCAGTATATTCTCTTTTTAGGGTAACTGGAAACTATTTCAGATATTAAGGCTGAGGGAGCTGGGCCTGTTCAGCCCAGAGAAGAGGAGGCTGAGGGGGGACCTGATCAGCGTGTATAAATACCTCAAGGGAGGCAGTGAGGAGGAGGGGGCGGCCTCTTTTCAGTGGTGGCCAGCGATAGGACTAGAGGAAATGGCCACAAGCTGAGGCACCAAAAGTTCCACGGGAACTTAAGGAAACACTTCTTGACAGTGGGGGTGACAGAGCCCTGGAACAGGCTGCCCAGACAGGTTGTGGAGTCTCCCCCTCTGGAGATCTTCCAAACCTCCTTGGATGCAGCCCTGTCTGGGTGACCCTGCGTGTGCAGTGGGGTTGGACTAGATGACCTCTGAGGTCCCTTCCAACCTTAAGCATTCTATGCTATATAGTAGCTAACAGCACCTTCCGGCATTGAGTCAAACATCAGCATCCCAACTCGGAAATCCAGTGAAGTTAGGCCTTGCAAAAGAAATAGACAGGAGTGGAGAAGGGGAACCTGCCATCTATTTTTTTTTGTCCAACACAATATTTGTATTTCACGATCATATGAGTCACAGGAGAGTTTACTGCTAAGTGTAACGTTTGCAACATTACAATTCACACAGAGCAGGCACAAAATGGACAGATCCACAGATGAAAAAAACCAGTCTTGCTAGGAGAATGGGTGTAGTCACTAAGGAAGACTCATTCGCATCTAACAAAAGAACTGAAATGGCCTTTGTTATACAATGCATACTAACGACATCATATTCAAAAGTCTCCTTTGCCCTTTTTCATTTATTTAGGCATCACAACATAGTATCTGATAAATTATTATTCCTAACAATCTCAAACTAGAGAGACAACTTCCACATGTGTTATCTGAGGTTTTTTTTTTGTTGTTTGTTTGTTTTTTTAACAACCAGGTATAAAAACCAGATTTCGTAGGCTTACTGAACACCACAGTGACATTTTTAAAGCACAGGATTCTGAAGAAATTAATAGTAATAAATTAGATTATGGTGTGCATCTCAGTGTGTTCATAACATAAAGGACTGAGTTCTACAGTTTTACAGGAACAACAAGTTTCTATTCTGTATTTGTGATAGAATTATTCCCCAGTGAGTATGTCTGACAAAATTTTGGCTCTCCTCTAAGCAACACTAATTGCTGAAACCTCTGATTTCTTCTTAGCTTCACTTTCATCATATATTAAATTCTATCTATAAAGCCAAAATAAACACTGCTAAAATGAAATAGCTTTTTGAGCCTTCTTTCTTTATAGTTTCAGCTGAAATCGCTTCCAGACAAAAACATATTTAAAACCAGATTTAATTAGAGGCTAAAATTTATCCTGTTAAGAAAATGTGTATTTGCAAGCAAAAAAACTTGAGACAGAACATCAGATTAAGTTAAAAATTCACTTGGATGAGCAAGTTCTGAAAATGACAAGATTCAATTTATAGACAATTAAAGCAAACACTATGTAAATAGTGCTTCAAAGAAATATTTTTTTTCCACAAGAACATTATAATTATATCTTTTATTTTTGGAGTAAGCCAAAGAAAACAAGTTGTGAAACAAGATATTAAAACACAGTGTTAATTCAGTTTTAATCAACACTGTATTATTTACGGTACACGCATAAACAGGCTGTTTCACTCTGCCTTCTCTGGATTTAAATAATGGTTTTCCTCAACAGCAATTTTTTTCCTTATTATTGTGTAGCAAATAGAGCAGAAATAGCTGATGTATTACAGGAAATCAAAATTAATATTTGGCATAATAAGGTAAATCCTTTTCCTCCCCACTCTCCAAACACCAAGTACTTACAAAGGCAAATTCCCTTGCAGCAGTGTCATAGAAATGAAGGGCAGCCACCTCTGTTTCAGAAGCCGCCAGCCACTGGAGCGCTGCTCTGAGCTGGGGATCCACTATATTTGGTTCCAGATCAACATTCATGATTGCTAATGTCCATCTTGCTTGCTCCACACCTAGCATTAAAAATAAAGTGATCAAATCCACAGCTCCAAGCTGTCATAAAAGAATTGCTATGTATCACTATTAGAGTATATTATCTTAAATATTTTAAGTTATATAGGTATTGAAGGGCAAATAACATCTAGATCCGATACATTCTGTTCTACTGTGCATGTGGAATTTATCCTATTTTCAGTTTAATTTCAACATCTGAAGATCAAAATGCTTTTGAACTTTAAGACAAGACTCCAAACGATAAGAACTTTAAATTAGTCTTTCAGAATGTGCTCAAACAGCAATAGGCTCCCACAGTGTGCTTCAAACAAACTGCTGTCTTTTTGTAATGCCTCCATCTACTAAATTTATTTTTTTCTGTATTTTTTCTGTACATTTTTTTTTCTGTACAAGATGAACTGATCAGATTGCTCCTGCTTTTTGAAAATACAGTGCTGTTGTTTACTGAGGCCTATCCCATTTCTTAGCACTTCTGCAGCATGAGTTCCAGAACTGAACACAGCACTCAACGAGTAGATGCAGGAATAACAAAGCACAGCTACAGCATCAGCATCATCTGTTCTCTATCTGCATTTTTTTATCCAGATATTACAATTGTCCTCTGTCACACAGTGGTAACCAACTAAGTATATGTGTAGGCCTCTCCAACTGCTTCTTGAAGCCACTACTTATAGAATGAAGGAGGACTTAACTCTTTAGAGACATAGAATATATTTGAAATAAAAGCATGTTTTAACGTGCCACTTAATCTTACTACTCTTCTAATTAACCTTATAAAATTCAAATACATAAGATATGCATTCCTACTTGATAAGCAAAAAATAAAATGATCTTTCTAGGAAGAAATGGATGAGAGAATTTACCTGGTGAATTGTCAACAAGAGTGCTTTTAATGGAAGATAGAATATTTTTCTAGAGACCCCCAATGTAATATATTAGAGCAGAACAAACCAATTACAAAAAATAGTGACACTTTTAGATGGGAAGCATTATGGTACCATATCAAATGTTTTCCAAAGAGATTTGGCCATGCATACAAATTTACACTTTCAACAAGCTGCTCAGCATTCCCTACCTTCCATCAAGAACACAGGTCAACTAAACATCACCACAACAAACATTTCCCCCAGGCTGGATATTTCTGAGTATTAAGAAGTGTTCAGAGGGTATTAATATGAGAATGTCTTCAGACTCTTAATTGACACATATTGTAATGGATAAAACAGTTGTCACCTTGCTTTACAGGCTAAGAATCATGAAAAATAATTAGCATAGAGTGCACAAAACAAAAACAACAGCCTATGTTGGAACTACTATTACCTTCTACAGCATCCTTGGAGTCTTCCTCTTTGTCTTCTGTTCCATCACTACTTCAAAAGTAAAACAAAAATTTTAATACAATCCACTACATTCACAATAAATGTAAATCAATTCTAACACTGTAAGGAAGGTTAATCAGTAAAGGACACGAAGATCAGGAAAGAATTAAGGGATGACCATGAAAAGCAGCTTTGCTTCTCACACCATTTCATGTTGTAAGTAGACTTGTCAGTAAGTTTAATAGATCGGCTCTTCAGGGAAGTAAGGGGAGGACAGAACAGGAGAAGAGTGTTAAGAAGATATAGTATGAAGATATTATTTTAAAATAAGACAAAGCCCTTGTTCTTATTTAAGGGAACAGTTCAGTTTTGTTTCACATGTTAAAAGGCTGAGCAGTCTTACGTCATGATTATGAATAGCTATAGGTTATTCCAAGCTGTATGTCGTAAGCGTTCTACAGAATTAATTGCCAAGCAATTGTGAAAGTTGCCACAAGCTAAAGGAAAACAAAACAAAAGAAATAAATAGAAATTCCAGAGGAAGCAGGCTCTAGTTTGCTAAAGTAAATCTAAAGACTTGTAAAATTGCAAGCAAGAACATGCATGAAAGGGACCCCTCATTTTGCAAGCAGAACACAGAACTTCAGTTTAGCATAGCGGAATTTATCCGATCAGTATGGATGAATTAATGAAAAAAATCATATTGTGATTAAATGAGAAGAGTGTGAATAATGTATCAGCATAAAAATGCACTGTATTCTTGTCTTCAAAAAATGATTTCATGCATTAATTATGAGGAATCCATCTGGTTTATATTTCTGGACTCAACCAACCTGTCTGATGTTGGAAAGGATAAATTCTCCTCATACAAATCCCCTTCTAAACCAAGACTGCTCCAGCTACTGCTGTTACCATTACTGCCAGGAGAAGAAGAGAACACAGCTGAACTAGAAAAGAACAAGAGCTCAAACTAGAACCTTAATTTTCCTCAGTGCTGTTTTGTCAAGATATATAATGCTAGAGCATTGAAACTTCCTAAACAGGTTTGCTGAAACAGAGTCCAAACATGAGTGTCAGGGCTATTCGGATCAGCAATTTGCACAAACAGGCAAAACTGGTAAGCTCTGTATGCAGCTCTAAGTATTAATTTGTACTCTTTAATTTTTCTAGATCTACTAACAGTAAATCTGTCTTTGAGCCTAAGTACACAGTTTTTTATTTATACCGGCTGAACAATTTCAACAGGTTTACTCATAGGAATATGCATTTTAAGTATAATATTTGCTTAAAGAATAGCCAAGAGTTCATGAAATTATATACTGTGAAGAGCTACACAAGGAAAATCCTTCTCTCTCTCATTACAAAAATCAAGTAGTGATCTACAGCAGTCTGATGAGTAGGAAATACTTTGGGGAGCACAAAAAAAAAAAAAAATCTGAGTACTCTTAAAGCTTTTTTAAAAAAATATTGTTATGAAACAGTGAAAACAAAGCTAGAAATATTAGCTCACAATTCATAAACATACTGAATTTATTCCACAACAATGCTCAAGTCAATGTAAAGAAATGAAAACTTGAACGTGTCCTTGCACTGGTACCTTCTAAGCATTAAAATTTACAGACACCTGGGCCTATGTACAATTCTCAGCTGATCACATCGTTAAAACTCCTGTTCCTCGATTTGATACCACCCCCCAGGTCAGCCCTGGGAACCTTCCAAGAGCAAAATGCCAAGAGAAGAGAGCCAGGCTTCTTAAAGAGGGCTGAAGGGATGGTATGACAAGCCATGAAGCAACTCCACAAAGCAGCTACTGCCAGGAGATGCTTTCAGATGTCTGTTCAGCTAAACGCTGTCTTTGACAGTTAAAGCTCTTTACTACTTGTTCCAATTGCAAGAGAAAATAGTCAAATTTGAAGGCACAAATATTGGAAGGGTGCACTTCAAGAGCCAGACATTTTTGAGAGGTAGCAAACAGTAGCATCAACATCCTCCGCTTTCCAGTTTGCCTGTCTGGATCCTAATTTCAACACAACAGCAGGTTAGCAAAATTGCAGTGTGATATATTCTAGAAGAAAAATAAAGCTCTGAATGCTTTATTTAGCACATTGTTGCTGTGGGTTATTTACAACAAATGTGCTAAGAACAGGTTGTTCTGTCATTACTAGTGGGGGGAAAAAAAAAGCAGAAAATTTAAAGAGCAGAAGTATTCAAAGAAACTATTTTGGTTCTAGAACGGCAGCAATACTAATAAAACGCAAAAAATTAAAAGAAAAAGCTAATGGCAGCTACTTCTACCAAGATTTCATAATTACCTGCTACAACCGTATGGAAAAAGCAGAATTATTTATAAGAACATTTCTCAAGCTACTGTACAAGACTATCATAGTATACATAAAGTATTAACATCAAATTTGATTCTTACATATGTTCTGTACATGTACATTAATATCCATGATTTGCACTCGGTCACTGTTTGCTTGAAAAGTTTCGATACATAACATAAATGCAAGTAAAAGCTGCCCTAGATCCAAGATTAAATGTGTTGCAGAGAATGACCTCATACATGCACTGTTCTGACTAGAGAAAAATACACTCTTACAAAAGTCAAATTCACTCACATAATCAGATTTTTAATCATGTGCTTATAAGATACAGCAATGCTTGAGGGTATTTTTTTAACATGAACTTAATGTTTCTGTAAGAGACTGAACAAGCTTGAAAAAGTCTTGTAGCCACAGAGCAGACAACAGAGAGAGCAGGCCATTATAAAGCCTCTATAATGCTTCTTTCTGCTTTTCAACATAAATAAGCAAGAAAATTACCCCAAATAAGAACTTTCAGCCTATCAAGCGAGGCCAAACAAGCCTCGATACTGTATCATATGTATGTGAAACAGCACTCAGATCACGTGCTTTGAGATTTTGCCTTAGGTACAGGCAGACAGGGGGAAGAGGCCGGCTTGGGCTCTGAGCTCTAATCTGAACCAGGTGCTGATCCTCTGCAGAAGCCTACACCTAGGCAGTAACTGGGGAGGAAGCTTAAGACTAATTAGATTGCTAACATTAAGCATCTAACATCACACGTGTAAAACATCACACGTGTGAATACTCCTCAGTATAACTAACTTTATCAAATCCACTAAAGAACTTCGAGTGCTATTGCCATTCAGCACAAGAACCTAAACTCATCTCATGCTGATAATCCTCTCCAAGTTGTCTTGCTCCCTTGTTTATGGTTAGTCTAAGCCTCTATGAATTACAGTTTTCATAGAGATCTTTACTAATGCATCTCTTCTCAATCCAGAAGCTAACAGGGTAGATGGGGAGATCCCCCTTCTTGCCCCACATCCCCCTCCACAGGGCAGAAAACTTGTTTCTTAGGGGATTTTGGCACATTTTGGCACACAAAACATTGGCACAACAGGTCCTCCAATGCTTTTTTTTAATATATCTATATCCATCTATCTACATATATAGAAAATTTCTTTTCCATATAAGCACCAAATGACCTGTATTTTATTCACTCCTTGTAAGCACCAAAGATTCTTTTATATATATACTCTGGCTTTAATCACATGAGTCTGACTTGTCACTCATTCAACAGATGTTTAGTTTAAATAAATAGAAGACCAAGTCTCTTAACAAAATTATTCAGTTGTATCAGTGATAATGTATAATATTGGTTTGATTAAATTGCTTTCAATTAAGCAAAACATGAAGACACTACAGAATTTAAAGCGAAACGTTTCACTTTATAATTAATTTATTTCTATTTACATAAAGATTACTTCTGAATTTTCTTTAACATCTAGATGATGTTGGAAGTACTAAATAGTTGGCAAAAGGATAAAAAACAATAAAAAATGTAGAACTTACTACATAAAAGTGATACACTAATTATACAAAATTAAGCCTACTAATTCTTCCAATTTCCTGTATGCAGAATCCGGGGTTATAATTCTCCTTTTAATTTTCACTGGCAACAGCTGTAGATATTACAGATTTTTTTAATTCTTACTCTAATCCTTGCTGGTTATCAAGCAGCCCAAAGGAAGGGTTATATATATAGCAAGAAATTATATATAAAAAAAAAGTTACTATTCTGATCAGACTGTAAGTTCCAATACACCTGTAAGTTTTGCAGTAAATAAATATTCCACCAACATCAGTTAAAATGACTTAAAAATTCAACCTCCACAAAACTCTAATGTATGTCTTAAGCTCTGAGACAAACTAGATTAACTTTTAATTTTCAAAACTAGGCTAATTTATAGTTACCTGTCACTGAGATGAAGAAAACTGCTGCTCTCATCAGGATGTTCATCTTCAAAGCTTAGATTGGACCAGCTGCCAGTGCTATCATCACCAATGCTCAGATTCATCTGCTGGCTAACAATAGACTCAACTGAGTGAAATCCTTCTCTTCCTGTAGAGCTAAAGAAAAATTTAAGATTGAAAACATCACTCGAGCTGTATCTTATCTAAAGTAATTTAACACAGAACGACAGACTGGTTGAGGTTGGAAGGGACCCTCTGGAGATTATCTAGTCCAGCCCCCTGCTCCAGCAGGGACACCCAGAGCATGGGGCACAGGGCGGCATCCAGGTGGGTTTGGAAGACACCCAGAGAAGAAACACCAAAGACGATGAATTCTGGGGCGGGGGGAAATATATATATGTTAACTTGTACCCTACTTTCAAAGGAAGAAAGAAATGGAACAGTTTAATGAATTTCAAATTCCAGAAATTACATTTTGTAACATATGCACTTACCCTACTTAGACTTGGGATTGCCATTTGAAACTCAGTCACCAGAGGCAGGGAGTGGTACAAACAGCTCTCCTGGGTGGGCAATTATTTGTATATAGATAGTAAAGCTTCAGCATCTAGGTAGTTTACTCTTACAAACAGGTCAAGACACACTTTTCAAGTAGGAAAAATCAGCATTTCTGACCTTGTTTAGCTAAGGACAATTTGATTCTATCTCCTCCCTGCCTTTATTACAATCAGCTCACTACCAGTCATTTGTTATTGTAGACAGACTGCTTAGGAGCACACTGGTTTTTAAAATGCTGTAACTTTCCCACTTTTGAGAAGTATTTTTCCTGCAGATTCTTCCCCTAGGGAAGATTTTTTTTTATTTTTTTTTTTTTAAATCAGTTAAGCAAATATGCTCTGTAACAGATATTCTTTAGAAGACCAATCAAGATATCCAATTTGCTATCTTTAAAAAACATGTTATTTTTCATAAAGGCTTCAATCTGAGAACGAACCCATGTGCACAGACTTCTGGGGTCAAAGTCTAGTTATTGTGTAGATCAACGCTAGAAAGTTCAAGAAATTTTTTCCTACTACTACCATAAACAACAGTCATTTCAAGATTGTTTCATTCACTGTTTAAAAAGCCAACTTTGAGCACATCACACACAACACTTCCCCTCTGATGAAGCATGAATGTTTGCAGGTAATAATGTAACTTGTACCAAGTATTGTTTAATTGTTTAAAGCTCAGCTAATTTGGGCAATATAAATGTCATTTTTTCCATTTTTATTTATAGTTATATCAGTGCTAGCAGCATTTTTTTCCTCTGCACATGAGTAAGGTAGCTCAAGAAACACACACATTTTATATCACACTTTGAATGCCAACAAAAATGTATTAAAAAAAGGCATTCACACCCACCGTGACCTTTACATGACACTAAAAGCACATAAATACATTTTACTGCTCATCATGATGTCAATCTAGAAATGAGAAAATAAACCCATTGCCACTGCAAGGAATTTTCATGCAAACCAATGCAGGAAGTAACTGCTAGAAATTAGAAAAGTTAACAAGGTAGAGATTGTTCTTGAACCTGAAGAAGAGATTTCAAGTCATTCTGATCTCTGTGCAATCTGTCTGAAGAAACAGTTTGTTTTCCTCAGAGTTACTGTGGCACGTATTTCTTATCAAGAGGCTTACTAAAAGAAACAACCTGTTAGCTATTGCTGAAGATGCATCTGAGAGTCAGTTTCTGCTCTAGGATAGTACCAATATAATATTTTAGAAGCTAAAACACGTTGAGAAAGGTTTAGTTTTGTTTGGTTGTTTTTTTCCCCATCCAAGAAGCAAGTTTCATATTACAACGGAAAGCAAGCTTCATTTTCTAGTACCAAACACTGTTTTTCTAGTACAAATTGAAATCCCTGTATGGAACAAACCTGAACTCCGTCATGGTTCCCTAGTCAACAAAACATTTTATTCAGGTATAAAAGTCTCTACAGTAGATAAAAATAGCAGTCACTTGAAGTTGAAATTCCAATTATTAATCACCTACCAGATAATGCACATGCTGGTGTATATAGAAACTTTGGTGTTAAGATCTCGCAGGTGGAAAAAAGCGTTCCTCCTTCAAGACTAAATCATGCAACTATCACCACAGTAATACAAAGAACAAACATGCAGTATATAAAGTGTTTTCTTCAAATTACAATTTTTATATTTCTACATAAAGGATTTCTAAATGAAAGAAATTCTTCTGATCACAATCATTAATCAAACCTTCTCAATCAATCAATAATCATAGAGTCACAGAATCACAGAATCCTTAAGGCTGGAAGGGACCTTTTGAGATCATGCAGTCCAACCCCTCTGCACACGCAGGGACACTCAGAGCACAGGGCACAGGGTTGAGTCCAAGCAGGTTTTGAAGACCTCCAGAAAAGGAGATTCCACAACCTCTCTTGGCAACCCATTCCAGTGCTCTGTCACCCTGTCAAGAAATTTTCCTTAAGTTCCTTCTTTTCCTGGTACAGAATGCAAGAAATGAGGAAAAAAAAAAAAGAGTATTACCTTACGTTATCTGCCTGACCAATATTAGTCATAGCTGCTGTCATTATCTCAGTAGTAAGGCTCTCGGCAAAACTGACTCCGTCGTGCCCAATGCCACTGTCAGCCGCCAGGCTCGTGGTACTCAGTTCTCTCTCTGCTTTCTCAACTGCTGCAGCAACCACCTTGTCAGAAAGCACTGCCTTCTGCTCTACGTCAATATGAATTTTAGGAATATCAAGGGGAAACATTTTGGATTTTTGGCAGACACCGCCCACCCTAGAAGGGGGGAAATGCCTCGCTGCATGGGAGGGCTCTTGGGCAGGCAGGTGGGATGCGTTTTCTGCACAGTACTGATGTTCCTTCATACTGCAGCATCTGCAGACGGATCCGGAAAAGGGCGACAGCTGCTCGGTGTATGAGAGCCTATCCCCGTTTTTCCTGTGTTCAGCTGCCCGGAGAACAGCAGATTCTAAACTCATTTCTAGAGTATCATCTGCTACTTTCCTAGCATATTGTTCTATAGCTTGAATTATGCCCTCACTGTAGCCATTCTCATTTAAGCTGCCCGTGCTATGGTACAGCTTCTGCTTTGGGGAGAAGGGAAGAAATGTCCTAGAAAGTGTTGTTTTAACAAGGTCCCCTGGGATTTCATCCAATTCAGTCTTTTTATAGAGGCAGGAATCTGTTAAAGATTTCGGCAAGCACGTTCCCGACATTCTCAGTTTCCTCCTGACATCCCAAGTTATGCTCTGCGCAAGGGACTCGGAAAAGTGCAACAGCTCCGTGCGCTCCGCGCTCTGCGCGCGGCCGCCCCTTCTGCACGTGTGCTCTTCGCAGGCACGAGCGCAGCTTTTTGCTTGCTGTAGTGGATCTTTATTCATTATTTTGAAGAGCTCCAACCTACCATTTACCTCCGCGTTTTGCCCAGGCAGTATCTTTCTGCTGTACCTCAGTTTAGTTTTCCTAGCAGCCTGCTGCAGGCCCGACTTTATGGACCTGTAAACAAGCCTGCTGGCATACTGATCCACTAGCAACTCGGCATTGCCTCCTTCTCTTCTCAACACTCGAATTATATGATCTGCATACTCCTCGGTCACACTCTCACAGCTTGGGTATTTGGAAGTCAAGCCCATCATGCCCAGAGTTTGTGGTAGAGGAAACACAGAAGAATCCCTCTCCCCTGACCAGTGCTCCTGCCCTGGTGCCCACCGTTCTCTTGAACTGTCACCCTTATCTCCTCTTCTCAGATGAAGGCAATCCAGTTGGCAGTTCACCCGCTTCAGCCTCAGCAATTTGCAGTTCCTGGATTTCACCATTTTCTTGGCCTCGTTGATGACTTTCCCTGCCATATCACCTGCGTAATTCCACAGAGAATTGCAGGTCTCTTCTGGAATATCTACAAATGCAGCAGAGCCAGATCTTTTGTTTGGCATATTTGCTTTTTTATTGGCTTCACCTTCATTCGTTTTATCATCTAATTGGGAAGCAGCCATTTCAGTCGCCATCGAAATTATGTGACTAGCCAAGTGATCTGCATACTGTACTGTTTTTGCTGGATGTTCCTCTTTCTCAACTGGCATCTCCGAACAGTCTTCATCTTCGCTACTCTCCACTTCTTCGGAAAGCGACCGCATGAGTTTCAGCATAAACTCTTCTTTTTCCAGGGGATCAATCTCCGTTTCAGACAAGCCACTCACAGATGGATTGTATGGAGTAGAAGGTGGTGTTGCAGGTGCAAATTCCTTAGCTAATTCTCCCTTGAGTTTCTTGGATAACTTCCTCAGGTTCTTTTCAGAACTAGCTTGACATGGTACTAAGGGTGTTGGTGGGGGGGTACCAGGCATTGCACTGGTACTTCCATCCTTGATAGCTGATTTATCTTCCATCTGCAAAGCTTCTTCAGCACCAAACATAACTGGAAAGTTGCTGGAGTGGAGACAACAATCATCCTGCCTGCAAGTCACAGAGCCTGATGATATCTGAGTGTCTGGCTTTTTTGAGGGCTTATTTAAGTATTTTACTGAGCAGCTTCCTGTGTCAGTGAAGTCTTCTAGAACCTGCTTAGAAAAAGCCACAGAGGAACAACGTGGGGGTGAACTTGAAAGAAACCTCCGCCCTCTTTGCTCCTGCCAACTGTCTTTAGATTCTGAAGAACACTGAACAGAATGAGCTGGAATAAGAAGAGATTTAGATGGATTATTCAGAGGCATCTGTTGCTGCCCAAAAACTATAGGAATGTTATTTTGCTTCTCAGCCTCCTGCTTCATTACCACACTACTTGGTTCTTTTCTATTGTTATCTGCATGTGTCTGTGAGCCCAAATTATATACTAAATAATCAGAGGTGGTGGGAACCACACTGCTGCTTTCATCCACGGACTGTTTTATGATATACTTGGCCAAGTGGTCTGCAAACATGTTCTTGGGAAAGTCTTCACCAATACATTGCAAGTAAGGTTTTTTCTCTACTACTTTTCTTGTTAAAAGCCCTTTGTATTCTCCCACTGCTTTTGTGACCCTGGATGAAGTTATGGCTTCATAGGCTTCATTTACAATCATATCTACCATCGTTCCAGAGAAACTACTGATGCTTTTTGGCCCGCTTGTTAATTCTAAATTATTATTCATTCCAGATCTGTCATTTACTTGTTTGGTATCATTTTGGTTATGTAAAAGTGGTGGATTTTCTTCAGTACTTTGATTGGGGTCTGATGTTAGATATATATTTCTGAAAGAAGCAATTTCCTCCTCTTTTCTTCTAGTTGTACAAAGTGGATGAGTAGAGTCTTTGTACACTTTCATACTGTCATCAGAGTTTGAAGTAGCTTGTGTTTTTGCTCTATAAACATCAGAGGACATCTGATTTTGACAAAGAGCTCTTCCAGCTAAGGGCACAGGTATTGAACTTACAACACCAGAGGTACAAAATAAAGCTTGCTGCACTGTATATTCTTTCCTGGAATCTGTGGGATTTACTGCTGCTCTGTCATTACAGCTTGGAAAAGCTGTGGAAGTCTGTGTTGACTGTAAGGTACTTTCTGCACTCACGTATTTAATGTTGTCCATGGAAACACTAATGGCCGCTTGTGTTGTGAAGGTCACGTCAACCTGAGACAGTTCAATAAAAGCCTCTTGAATCACAGACTCGGACAAGTCTCTGGCATAAGATCTTACCACTTTATCTTCAAAATCAAACGATGAAGTCTGTGCAGTTGTAGGCGTTGATGGATAGGAAAACTGGCACACTTCCATGATTCCTTCAAAGACAAGCTCTTCGGCGAGCTCTGCTGCAAACCGCGCAACTGTGTTGGTAAATATTTGTTTCTTTACCTGCCGAAGCTCTTTCAAAGCCCCAGTTAGAGCTTCGCTCACCAGAAAGCCTGCCAGCCCGTTAATGGCGTGTTCCTTCAAGGAAAGCGCCCGCCGCCTTCCGATCTCATAAAATGCCATCTGAAAGACTGAAGAAGTCAACCTGGCAGCCAAATGGCAGAGCGCACTGGTGCATGAGGAAACACCTTTCTGCAAGTCTTTAAAAGCGTTGCCAAAACTTTTTTCAACCAATTCGGTTGCGAATTTTTGAATGCTATCTTTGATCATTAATGACTTGTTTTTCGATTGAGCTGGCTTATTTGGTTCCTTGCCAGTTTTCATTCTGGGATCTGTAGTTTGACCTTTCTCTCCTTTCGAAGCAATTCTGCTTTGTTTGGACTCCTTTTCTACACATACGTGTTCCGAGGAAGAATCGGAATGAAAAACAGAACCCAGTATTTCAAATGAAAAACTATCAGCGTATTCTGAGTAAGTATCATAGAGTGCATCAGGGTGGCTTTGCCCTGTTCCATCTCCACTCAAGTTCATCCGACAGAAACATTCAGAAGAACCACAGCTCCCTAGTGGACTGAAAGCTGAGGATCTTATAGGGCTGAACAAAGCCCCATTCTCTTCCCCTGACGTTTTAACCGGGCGAGGAGAATCTGGAACCTCAAAGATGCTGCTGTAGGGAGATTCTGGTTTACGAGGAGTTGGCTTCCTTACATTGGCTGGAAGGGTGGGACGATCAAACTTGAAATTTTGAGGATTCATTGCTACGTTTCCAGAACACAGATGCTTATGAGCAGTCCTTCTTTTCAGAGGAGGATTTCCTTGGACTGGATCCCTAATAACTTTACAAGTGTTTTCCAGGGCTTGCTCCAGTTCATCAAATTGATCAAAACTATCAAAAAACTCACTAACTTCTGAGTCTGAATCTTCTATGCCGTCTTTCACTACTGGAATTTTTGGCAGTTGAAGTTTTGCCTTCAAACTTTTCTGATACCCTTCTTCATCTAAGAAGATAATAGGGCTTGGGCTGGAGCAATCTGACTCAGAGGATTCTGCGGGAGAGGAGGAAAATAACGTTTTACGTAAAAAATTAACGCCTTGATCAGAGGGATTATAGGGCTTATAGAAACTCCGTTGTATCCAAGGATCAGAAATTGATGTTGTAACTGAATTTTTCACTGAGGACAGTTCCTTTAGTCCCAAAATATCAACCAAAGTAGAAGATCTAGCAGATGACTTCCGATGCACTGAACCCACAAGGATTTTTGAGTCAACAGCTTCCAAACATTGGGTGGGGATGGTCTGTGAAGCAACATCTCGATGATTTCGAGAACTAAAGCTGCTTGCCCCTAAAAAGATAAACAAAATAAAAAAGCTTTAAAAAATAAGCTTTAAAAAGTAAAAATTTCCACAGAAATGCACATTATTGAGGACAAATTGACAGTAATCACTAAGCATTTAATTGATGTAATACATTAGGTCATCTTTCACGATTAGGCTTTGAAAATGTAATAGTGATCCACTAGACAAGTCAAAATCATTAACAAAATCATGTACTTTTTAAGCATACATCATAGGTTCTACTTTATCTGGATCTGACACCACAACTGGAATCTTTGGTTTATTATTTGACAAACTACTGTTGTGAAAAGAAAAGCAAAGATGTAAATTTACATTTGTATTATTACCCCTTTGAAAAAGGCAATTATTGTAAAAAAATTACTAGCATTTCTATATATATATATATATATATAAAATTTCATGAAGTCATGCAACAGGCAACATTTCTAAGAACAGGTTTTACAACAAAACTCAACAACAGGCAAGTACTTACCACCAGTCTGCATCTTTGAAGGCTCATCTTCATCTAAATGTTCAAAAGCAGTGACAAAATCATCCTCAATTGAAGAAACCGACTGATTAGTATCATCATCTTCTGCATGGGATGTCTCTGTTTGATGTTTTTGCAATGAGTTTATTTCCACTGCGTATCTTACACCTGTAGTATATTTACTCAGCAAGGTAAATACATAATCAGCTTTGATCCTTGGGAATGAAGGAGACAACCTCATCACACAAAGCACTTCAGGAAGCTGATTCTTAAAAAAAAGAGGGTAATAAGAAAACAGACACGTAACTAACTTGGAGAAATTGTCAGGTTTAACAAGGGATTCCTTCAAGATTTTTTATGCACAAAGAACAATAAATATTTTACATATAAAGAAAAAAATAGAACAGTTTGTAAATACTATTAATAATATTTTAGTTACACCTGCCTTCTAAACAAATCATTGCATTAAAAGCAAAAACACAATTATATAATAAAACCCTGATAATACATGCTCCAGCCTATTAAGAATACAAATGTTAAAAAACCTGTAAAGGATGTAAAGACTTAAAACTGTATTCACACAGAGCAGTATTTCAGTTTAGGTATTTGTATCCTATATAATGCAAATTTGACTGTGCTGCTTATTAGTCAGAGTGTTTTTAAGTTTAAGAGAATTTATAATGGATCCAGAAAAAAAAAAAAAATCAACATTGAATTTTATGAACACCCAACATGGGCATAATTGCCTGGCACCTGTATCAAGGAGGAAAGTCTGTAGATGAATGGAAGCTGTATCTGAGCACAGCAGTCGGAGGCAATTTCATTAGTTTGTTTCCACGTTGGCCACGAAGAGGACTTCAGTGACACAGAAGCATGAGACCAAGTCAGCAAGCAAGCACAGACCAAGCACCAAGTGAGTATGTGGGAAGGTTTCCCTACCAGCTAGGTTAGGTAATCTATTGATCATGAGGGGCATTCACAACTAAAAACACCTCCAGACTTGTTAGCTAATCTAAAACTTCCACAAAAAGAAACAGTCTCAAAAAATACTCATTCCTGACTATTTTGAGGATTACCCCTATACTGCTTCACCTTTTAAGAATCCTCCTCCTACAGAGACTCACCATAGCAGAAATTCTCTGGTGCAACATAAATATTAAATACATATATTAGTTCTTTTGTATTAATAATAAAGTACTTAATTTCAAAGGAAATAATAAAACCACCTAGAAGACATCTGCATCTAAAACATGTAAGAAGGCACAGAATGCTTACCTGATGTTTCATGATACATGTTTCATGTTTCATGATGGTTTTCTTTATATCTTTTAGAAATATAACTTCATTTTCTTTTAGTTTGCACAACTGGAGTGATTTCAGGACATCTGGAAGCTCTCCAGAAATAGCTGTCAATTCCTAATTTAAATATAAGGACATATTGAGAATACAAAGTGAAAAACTAACATGTAAGTGGTCATGAAGTCTTTTTGATTTCTTATCTAAAAACTGTGTATTAACAAATGGAAGGGACTGCCCAGAAAGGCTATACCCCTACAGATTTTCATAAATTGTCTGGATACAGCCCTAGGGCACCTACTCTTGTTAACCCTTCAGGAGCAGGGAGGTGGGATTAGGTTATCTCCAGAGGTCCCTTCCAACTTCAAGCATTCTCTGAGAATATTAAAATGTCCGATAATTTAGACAAATCTTTTGCTTCCTTCCCTACTTCTTATCTTATCCTCCCGTTATTACCTCAAACTCTGGTGTAAAATTTATTTCCACTAATAATTCAGTCCACGCTCATTTCCAATTCACATTTCTACCCAAAGAAAAGATGTTGACTGTCCTCATGCGACAGAAAAGCTTTAAAGGCCACACAGGAGAGAATCACAGGAGCAGTAAAAAGCATTTACCTCTCCTACAAGGCACACAGTTACTCAGAGGAAACAAAACTTGGCTAATAATGCTTTTAAATGGACTCTACATGCTCTTAGTGCACATTTTGAATGTTTTTTTAAACAGGTATTACAAACACAAGCATGGGGCTTTGCTTATACATGATCTTGAACAACTTTTAGATTCACCTAAAAAAAAAAAAAAAAAAGCCTCCAAAAGATCAGAAAGTATTTTAAAATTCTTTTCAACAATATAAGCATTACTGACTTAATTGAAGCAAGGTTTCTTAAACTTTATCAACCCTGTTCTCTAAATTTCACCTAACTAAATGATCAAAAAAGTTCGTTCTCATACTTGGGAGAATGCTTAGCAGTATTATTTTATTGATTTCTCAATATAATTGCAAGTTTGAGCACAATGAGTTGAGAGTTTCTATTTTCATTTCTAAGCATCACTAAACTTTTATAGTAATCTATAACTAGCTGGCAAGCAGTCAATCCAGGAAAGCTATCGCTTTGTAGATGACAATGGCACCTTATTATTAAGCGCAACTTTGAAGTAGAAAGTTAAATAACTACAAACAAAATAGTCACACCAGAATACTGATACACACAGTAAAAAAACAAGCAAACAAAAAAACCCCTCAAAATTTATGTTATTCCAAATCATTCTGACACAATATTCTAAATATATATAAAACATTGGTACTTGTATTAAAAGGTCAAAATCAGTATTTTTTAAAACTGTCATGGGTGGTTTTAAGTACTCAGTGTGAACAAATTTAATTTCTCAAAGAACAGCCCTCAACCAGAAAGGTATACATTATTTAGAATAGATAAGCAGTGCTGAACTGCTATTTTCCAACAATGGATATCATACCTTCAAATGAGCAGTTCCAATCTCTTCAACAAAGCCTATAAATGTAATCTGTAGAATAAACAAACATGTTAAAGTACAGAAATATCCAGATTTCTGTAGAAATTTACTTCTTGAATTTTACAGTAAAGCTTTATTATATTGTCACAAAAATACACCCTTGAACAGCACTGCCTGAAGAATAATACATACTACCACATGGAGAACAGTAGGTCTAAGTTGTCATAAAAGATGAGATCAGACTGAATAGCAAACACATTTATAGCCTACTACCTACAATTCCTTCAAATGGCCTATTGGCTGGTGTATCTTGAGCAACATACATAATTCCATTACATCTGCTGATATAAAGAGGATTTCTCAGTGCTTCTCTCCCTGCTTCCAGCTAGCTGAGTATTAGTCAGTTCCAGTCAGTTCTGAAATCTGTCTCCACACTAACAAACTATGATACATTAAGCTACACTTCAGCAAATTCTGTGAATTTACCATGTAAATTGATTAGCCTCAGGCCAAAACAGAACAGAGGACATCTAGCATGTGTCTGCATGCAATACCCAAGCAGATAAATTCCTAAAATAAAGTAATACTCAACCTTAATAAAAGATCTCATCAAGCTCAAGAGACTGGAAAGCAACAGGATTGTCTATTCAGCTTCACCTCAACTTGCTGTGCTTGTGAACAGTGATGTTTTAACTTGTTCCCATATTATTTTGTCTACAGACATCTAGGCTCACTCAGTACTAACACATCAAGACCTAATTTGTATTTTGTTCGATTTTCATTCTTCATGAAAAGTGAAGATACTTTCATTCTGAAGCACCACTGCATGACCTACTTCATGTCCATTATTCCAACTCTGCTTTAAGTGTCAGATTTACTCACTTCTCATTTAGTATCCCCTTATGGCAAACCTGCATCTTCCAAAAAAACCATTTTTAGAAAGAAATGTGAGAAAAAAAGTCATTTTGTAAAAAGAGGTACAAAGATCAAACATTTTCACTTCTGACTGGAGCTAAATTCTGATGCATTAGATTCAATTACTCCAGAGCACTAAGCAGGACACTGAATTTTATATATTCAAATCACAGGCCATGCTAACTTTGTGACAGTCACTGTTTTGCAAGGTAAGTCAGCTGAGTCTCATCTAAATAAGTAAAATAGAATGAATATTACTACGCACATAATGACTTGTAATCAACTTGTTCAGCAAATTGATGGGCAAAACATAGAAAATGAAAGAAACAGAGCTAGATAAAGAAATTGCTGCAAAGCAATTGTGTTGGGTATTTGTATTTTTTGTATTTTATTTCAGTGCAAAACAAGAAATCTCACTTGTAGATTGTAATCCTACTGGCATACATTCTGGCAACTTGTATTTTGGGGGGTCTTGTGCTGGTAGGAAGAGCTCCCTGTTTAAATTCACATATCTTAATACGCCTATTTCAGCCATGACAAAGCACGAGCTGAAACAAAGCTTTGCAAGAGCGTTCCAAACAGCTCTGGGCAAAACACAACTCTTCAGCACAATTAAAGGATTTGGAGGAAAACCAATTCTCTGATCATCGTTCCGGGAGATTTTAGGGATGGTGGTTGTTTTTTGTGGGTGCACAAAAACTTTTGTTCCTTTCCATCTGCCCTTTCCTCTTCCTCAAGGTAATAACTGAACCCTTGCTCAGAATACTGTACAAGACAGGGTAGTACTTGAGTTTTGCAGTTTCACACAGAGGAGGGCCAAGCAGTCAAGGTATATGTTGACTGGCTGCAGATGTTGGTCAAATGACATCATCACAAAGTTCACCTATTTTGGCATCACTGAAAATATTAACTTTACTCTCTCTGTGCAATCTGCCTTCAATTGCCAAATTAACAGAAATTACTTTTAGGATCTCAGACCTGGATGAAATTAGTATGCCCGTTCAGAAGTCACTGGGGAGTGAAGCAGCGGGACAGAAGGGCCTCGAATCATTAACACAAACCTTTTCCTTAAACTAAAAATAGTGTATGTGGCACTGTATTTGAAGGTTATCATCATCTGCAGGGACAGAAGAGCTGAATTAAAATTGCATAGGAAACCTGAATTCTGCTTTTTCCTCAGTATGAGCAATTATTTTGCAGTTTCAATGATGTTCTGTTAACATCATTCCTTATATAGGTGTCTTTCCCCACATTTTTTACAGAAAGGCCCAAAAAAGAAAGAAAGAAAAAAAAAGAAACAGTTCTATGAGGGTATATTTACCATCTTACATTTCATTCAGAGTGATCTTAACTGCCTGTATTAATAAAGTAGCTGAATGTAGTAAGGTATCCTTCTCTGCAGCAAAACATAGAGCTAGGCATATATTAAAAGTAAAAAGCAGAAGAGGGGAAGGGGCAAAACTGACAAGTTTTATTGCAGATTACACAGCATGGTCTGTCTGAACAACCAGCTATTATGGCTTGCAGGTCCAGACAGGAAGCTAAGGGTTCTTTATCTCTTTGTTAGGTTTCCACATATATACAATCTAAACAGGAGTGCTCATCAAGTGCTGTACAGCCAGTAATAAAATTCTTACATGATATTTAGTTTCACGATTCTTAAGCAGAGAAATATCTTCCTCAAACTTTGCAATCCTTTTAAAGGCAGTAAAGGACAGAGGACAGGACAGTTTATGGGCAGTCAGCAAGCTGCCATATTGTTCACATTTACTATCCTGCAGCTTCCACTACAAGTGGAACCACCCTTTATTGTACCCATGAAAAACAAATTTTTAGGCTATACCAAACCTCAAGAAAATTAGCTTGTTCTTCCTGATTTAAACACTCTTCTGCTGATACACTGCATAATTCCTTTCTGCTCTGCAACAGGGACTTCATAGAGTGCAGTACACCTTCACCAAAAGTCTGAAAGACAATAAAGTAACAGTAAAATATAAAGCAAACAAAATACATTTTCAGTTTTAGGTGCAAAGTATTTCCATCTGTTCCCTGACCCCAATACATTTCCCTACTTTAAGCACTGTGTAAAATGACTTTGTTTCTAAATCATCGTCAGTAGATTTAAGTCTACTTCAGGACATGGAATTAACACAGATTGTTTTTCTTTAAGCAATACTTTTATTACAAAATAAGTTAGCTTCTCCATTAAAAAAAAAAAAAGAAAACAGTGAGAAAATACATGATTGCTTATTAAGTACTTGAACTAATGCTTACAGTCTTAGAACAACTGGTAGGAAAAAAAGAAACAGAAAGATGAAATCCAAGCCATTATCATCTTCTTGCATCAAAACCTACATATGGAATTTTTCAATCATCTTTTCCTTACAAAATCTGAAAGACAATTTAGTCAGTAGGAATAACAGGGGTTAGTACAACAGTGAGGAGAATGGAGTGGAGGGTGAGTGGGATGATATCTCCATTCCTTTCATTTTTTTTAGGTAGTCAGCAACTTCTTTCTATCTTGAATTGTCATCTTCTCTAACTAGTAACCTAAAAAATAAGATTGTTATTTGACTACTATTAGTCCAGATTATCATCCCTACTACACTTGCTCTGTTAAAACGAAATTAGTGTGAAACCTATGAAAAATTATTTAAATTTTACATAGTTTCTTAATAAAACTGCAGAAGTGATGCAAAGCTCAGAAAATGTTTCTAAAATGGCTAGACAAAAGAAAATGAGGAAGTTAGTTTTATGATCTTTGAAATTAGCAAAATACATTTCAGAACATTGACAAATACGGCCCAGATTACCACCCTTACACTAAAGGCCAAATGACATTTACATAGAAAAGCAACAGAAGGTATCTCAGGCATTTAAGTCACATTTACGCAGTGTTGGGATCCGACAGCCAGTGTGGGACAGCAAATGATGCCACCAACAGGACAGGGAGCTGCTCTGGGCTGCTCCCCAAGAGTTAACCAACTCTTTTGCACAGTGGCTGTCACCACCACCCTGTGGGGCTGCTCCAGCCTGGGGGTTACATCCTCTAATGATCCCACAGTTGACAGGTCCAGACAAAGGAGAAGTGACACTGCAGACCCACAGCACAGTAGACCTCTATACGCTGCAGAGCTATTCCCCACAAAAGAACCTGCTAATGGCCATGTTGTTGCCCATGGGGCAGGACCTTGGGCTCAGCAAGAGGTCACCTGTCCATATGCACCTTGGTATTAACTAGAGCCACGTGGCTTTTGTATGGTTGTTCGTTGGATATAAGGAAAAACAATGTGCAGACTGATCCCCAGGATTAGCCAGTCTGCAGACCTGCGGAGCCACCCATCAGCAGGGACGCCTCTGATGTGACCAGCATGGAGGGGAGAAAATACACTAGAGGGGTGGCTCATAAGGAACAAGAGTATTTACTGTAAAGTGCTCCCCAGTGTTTGAGAATCCAGGGAAACCTGCACTGGACAGGTGGCCCATAATGGTTGGAAGAAGTTACTCTACCAGGCACTCACGGCTTGAGAATCTGGGGAAAGCTATCCAGGCAGGGTGGCCCTGAAGAAAGGGCAAGAGTGGCCAGCATACCAGACACTCGTGTTTGAAATGTAGAACTTGTGTGTGTGTGTGTGTGTGTGTGTATATATATATATATGTATATGTGTATGTATATACACACACACACTTTTTTTTTTTTTACAGTTCCGTACTATTTGCAGCTTTGCTAAACTGTTAGCTTTGTTCTAACCTCTTACCTCTAATAAATTATCACGCTTGACCCTTGTATTCAGTACAACTAATCCCAGAATCCAAAACAATTCAAGACAAGTGGCATGTCATGGGATCATTTGGAGGAAGTTAACTATCTTTCTAATCCCCTAAGTAAGGGGGTAATGTCCTGATTCTCTGGATATTCCAAGTTTACACTGCTCAAAGATTCAGCCTCGGTAACTCTCGGAGCACTGTTCCACTCAGGGGAGAGTCTTTTGTGAAGACAAACAAGTTTATCTCACTTTCAGCTTGTACAATAATTTAGTATCAGACACAGCACTCAAAGCAGTAATTTAGAAAAAGTCTGAAGAGCCAAACACGACCTGCTCATTCTCTGCAGACAAATAGTGATCCTCTTTGAACAGTACTCAGTATGCTTCTCTGTTAGTTTTCTATTACATTTAACTTACAAGCAAATTTCCTTGCTTTAATACCCTGAGAGAAGAGACAAGAGGGAAAATCAGAAGAGAAGCATTGTATTAGGAGTTGCTATAGCTGTGATGAAGAAAATTCAAGTGGGCCAGTAACAATGCCTCAAAATTTATCTCGACACCGTGATCGACTATCATCATTATTAATAAACGTATTGGAAAAAAAAAATAGAAGCAAAAATGAAGTCTAATGATAATTCAAAGCAAAGAGGTATCATCAATTAAGAGCACACATCAGACAGGAAGAACTTGTTGAACGTCACAGTTGCCATAACAAGAATAGCTTATAATGTAGCAGCACAAAGTGCAAGCTTTCAAACAGAACTGGGAATCTGCAAGCTGGAAAACAATTCGACTCTCTTACTTGATCCTGGGATAGCAATGAGCAGTCAATATGATGCTGCACTGAAGGGAGGAAAAAAAGGGGGGATTAATTCACAGCAAGCAAGGTAAGGAAGACTATGAAGGATAATCACTGAAATGCAGAGGCTTTTGTATAAAAGCAGACTAAGGCCTTAGCTTGCACAGCTTCCAAAATGCAGGCTAAGAGAAGATCTGATCTCTGACTGTAAATACATCATGAGGGCAAACATCAGCAAAAGTAAAAAGCCACTAAGCTGAAGACTAACACCACACATGAATAAATGCGTGAAAATTTGATGTGAATAGTTTTAGTCTGGCATTCCTAAGAAGATTCCTACTTACTACAACAGCAAAATTCAAAAAGATGTAAAAACAGAAGGATTTTTTTAATCTCCCCACTTAACTACGAGATTTACGTTTAATACGTTCTTGTGCTTACTGAAACCATGCTCATAACAACAGAGGTCTGGACTCAAACTCAGGGATTTTTTCCTGTCTTCTATTAATCAGACAACAAAAAAAACTCTCCCATAACCCCTTCCAGAGACCCTCAACTAAATTAATAGCTAGAAAATGGCATGTCCCTAAGACCAGCTCAGTTAGTAAGAATCATCCTCATCATCCTCATCCACGGGATCTTATTTGATTTTAGAAATAGCACAACTACTTCCAATAGACATTTACCTATGGGCAAAAGGCAAAAATCTCTGTACAACTCTCCGTGTTAGGCTTCTGTACTCCTTCCACACAGAAAACCTGAAGTCAGATATTGGGCGGGAAATCCTATTTCAGCTGTGAACAAAGATTTTGAGCTTACTAAACCATAGCAGGGCAAATATGAATGTCCTCAAATGCACTCAGAACAAAACTGAACACGGAAAACAAATCTTCCTCCTGTAGCCCAAATAAGCAAAGAGTCACACTTTCTTTGTGGCCAGAAAATCCAGAAGTCCTTATCTACAGATTCTGCACAATATACTGAACTCCATACTAATGGATTTCATAACTTATTCTAAACAATTGTTTTCAAACATTTCAAATAACTCACAAACCTGTAAGACATTTGTGTCTTACAAAGATAGACCAGGGAGATTCCAAGCAGTATTAACTGTGTATGAAAAACTGTTTTCCCCTCAAAGTGTAGAGAATGCAAATCCAATTATGCAGATCTTCATATTTACTCTACTGCCAGTTAACAAAAAAAAAACAGCTCTTCCTGATTTCATACGTCATAATATTTAAACCAACTACGTTTATAAAAATCATTTTCTAAGAATGGAACCTTGGGCTTCAAATGACCATAACCACAACTATGGACTGACATGTAAGAGCTACTGTAACAATTCATTTAACCATGACGAAGAAGACATGAATCAGACTAGAAGCTATGAATCAACATAAGAAGTATAGTGTGTTTCTGACTACCCTACTGTTTAGCTCTGTGCAAATGGATAGAGGTTCCATGTTATAGTCTAAAGATTGCCTCTGGAAAAAAATTAAAAGGAGGCAAACAGACATAGACCAAAACATCAGAGTTTGGCTATGTGTAAATGTACACCTAAAATGGGTCAAATTTATGTTCCTATAACTAGGAAAGAGGAAAGACTAAGTGAGCTAGGCCTCTTTAGGCTGAAGATTGAGAGGGAATCTGAACAACAGTATAAATACCCGAGGGGAGAATGTAAAGACGATGGGGCCAAACTCTTCTTGGCAGTGGTCAGTGATAGGACAAGGGGTAATGAGTACAAATTGAAACACAGAAAGAGCCATCTCCATATGAGGAAGAACTTTCCTGTGAGGGTGACAGAGCCCTGGCACAGGCTGCCCAGGGAGGCTGTGGAGTCTCCTTCTCTGGAGATCTCCCAAACCGCCTGGATGCCGCCCTGTGCCCCGTGCTCTGGGTGACCCTGCACGTACAGGGGGGTTGGACTACAAAATCTTTAGACATCCCTTCCAAACTCAACCATTCTGTGATTCTCTGAACTAAATGATCCAGAAGGTATAATGTCAATTCATAAAGATAATGTTTTAGACTATTACTAAAATCAATCAGGAATGACTGTTACTATCATTAGAAATATAATGCAATTTTCAGGCAACACCATTTCCTTCCTCAGATTCTCCTCTTTAGCACTGCATACTGTACTGGTTTAAAAATATATATATATATAAGTGCTAAATAGATCTTATTTTTCCATGAGAGAACTCCCCAAAAGTTAGTGTAAACTTAAATACAAGCCAGGCAAGTAACCTAGATCTAAAGTCTTAATACTACAGTCTTAATGGATTCCAAAGAACAGTTTTCAGGAACACTATGTACTTTTTAGCTACATATAAACTTGAAAAATGAATATCCCCCAAAATACTCACACCACAGTAAACAAGGCACATTTTGATATTTAAATACATCAGAATTTCATCAAATCACCTCATAATAACAACAGACTAAAGGCAAATGCATATGCATTATACTCCTTTTGATTATTCTTTCTCCTAGTTACACTTGGCTAAAATAGGCCACAGTATGAAGCAGTATTTTTTTGCTTCCTTGAAACTTTAGCCTATCAAAGTTAAAACACATAAAACAACAAACCAATCTACCAGTCTACTTGGTTCATTACTATAAACTGTTAAGATTAGAATCAAATAAAGTATTATTAGGATCAAGTAAAGCATTACTTCTTAGAACAGATAATTACCTTTTTCACAGATATCCTTGGCTTCACTCGATTGCCCTGAGCCTTGGCATATGGATCCATGATTTCATCAATCTTTACACTTGATGTAAGCCAGCTTAAAAGTACCTACAAAATATAAGTATATATGTATGTATATACTTGACCATTCAATGCTTACTCATTCACATAATATATACTTTGAAGAAGCATGTGGATGAACCAAGAAATTAAAATAATTTATAAGAATTTAAAAACTGAAAAAGTTTAAATAGCATACTATCCATCCTGATTTTGCCTTTAAAAAGGTAAACTGCTTTAAAGATCTTTAAATCCACACAAAATAAGAAATATCTTTAAGTAAATTTCAAGGTTGTACAGGGTGGGAAAAGCATTATGCTGGCTATCACTTCACTATAGTCAATAGTCCAGGGATATTTTTCAGCACATCCCTGCATTCTCTCAGCTATTCTCCACTATTTATCTCAGCCAACTGGCCTACTTATTTTTGTCACTGTAAGTACTAGAGAACACAGGTCACTTCTGTTTAGGATAACATGCATCAATAGTCTTGTTCTCTGGCATTGCTCTGCACAATCCTTCCCCTAAACACAGGAGACCAAGCAGGCATCTACTAGCCCTCAATTACCCTTACCCTTATTCTCAGTTCCAATAAATGACAGAGTAATGAAATAAAAAACACTTTCAACAATTTTCCCAATCAAAAGCAATGATAACAAACAGAAGATATTTTTGGGTGGTAAAGACAAATGCACTGAGAGAAAGCATGTGCCACAGTCTTAGATTCTACTTTTTTTTTTTTTTTGGTATCTTTTTTCTTAGTCACACGTTTTAGCCAAAAAGAAATTCTAGACTGTCAAAAAAAAAAAAAAAGCAAGAAGCAAATATGTTTATTAATAACATACAGTATTAATATATAAAAGTATTAATATATTAACATTGATTATATATTACTCTAACATGAAATATATTATTAACATTTTAATAAAAATGACCATGTAAACATCATGCTAGGATAGCATTAATGAAGATCAGTTTGCTAGAATGTTTTAAAAGTTACACTGGTGAATAAACAATAACGTGTTCATCTGCAGAAAACAATACTTATCTTAACCTCCCAAAATTCAGAAATCTAGTTCAGGCACTAACTCAAAGGAGATCTCTAAATACATCTAGTCACATAGAAAAAGAAAAAACAAAACAAAACAAAACAGGTAAAGTTGATGGATAGAAGAAGATTCTGTGAAGGGCCATCAATGAGAACAGCTAGTTTCTCAGATATGGTCAAAAGTGCTTGACTCTTCTATCTGTGGACTGCTCATTAAAAACAGCAATTCAAGAAAAGCCTCCTTGCACAGGGAAATAACAGAGATAACTCTGTGACCATCTTGGGTCCAGTAGAATTGACTCAGGTAGGGGAGTCTGTACTTACAGTATACTTCCTGCAAGCAGAAGATTAAGCATCATCCTACGGCACAGGGCTTAATTAGTAAACTCCAGAGACCCAAACATCCACACACAATCACGTACAGTGTCATCTAAACCAGGAAACCAACAATTCTGTAAGCCTCAGTACAACAGCCCTGAAAGATGCTGGACAGAATCAGCCCTGGTTTATGTTCAATGTAGCACTATAATCTTTCTGTCTTCTCTGCACCCTGTCCTTCAGTACTTGTATTATGCAGGTGTTCTGCACCGTCTGCAGTATCCCAGCTCTCTGTCACCAAATGAAGAACAGTGTGATTTCTTTGAAATATAAAATAAAAATCAGGAAAAAAAATCTCAGATCATTTAATTTATGCATAATTCTCTTGTTCATCTTCAAAAGTGCAATGGTACCATCATCAGAAAAACACCAAAACTTTAAAACTAACTGGAAGGGAAGTGAAAGCACTGATAGAAGAGACAACCTAGAAATAGTTCATATCTTACATCAATAAAATCTACCAGTTAAAATAATTTTTACTTCCTCATACTGTATTTGACTATCAAGTTCCATATTCTTTAATTGTAAATATCAGAAGAAATAGAGAAATAAACGACAAAGGCTTGAGTTGTCAGAAGAATCCTGGCTGATATTTATTCAGGAACAAAGGCAGACATCCAGAAAAAAATAAATAAATAAACAAACAAAAAGGTGGGAATTGTCAATAAATAAACCACACTAAGTTTCAGCAACAAGTACTAAGCATTTAGCTTTTCAAATCTCATTCAAGTATATAACACGTAAAACTCACTAGTGAAATTAGCCCAAAGAAGACAACAGAAATTTTGCCTTGGTTTTTCATTTTTCTACATAAACTCATCCTATACAAATTTATTAAAAGTAATGTGTGATTCTAAGTGTAAAGTACACTTACAACCATTAACAGGTAGAAAGTTTACTTAAAGTTTATAAAATGTAAGAGTGCCAAGTAAATCAGCTATACACAGATCTGTTTAAAGGCACACCAGCATATGTAAAAATTTGATTTGCAGGTGCAGTAAACTTAAACTATATGTAATATTTCCCATTCTTATTAAGTTCCCATAGAAGATTCTAACTATATATAATATTTCTCATTCTTATTAAGTTCCAATAGAAGATTCTAGCTGATGACAACTGTATATCTGTGACTATGTTCCAAATTTTTTTTTTTTTTTCTGTAGTATTGTTTAAGAGGAGGAGGGGAAAAGAAATCTTTCTTTTAAATCAAAAATACTTTTTGGGTCTTCAACATAATTACCAGGAGCTGCCAAAAGAACTTAGCCAACAGCCAGGCTTAAGCAAAAGCTAAGCTTCAATACACTCATTCAAAACATTACACTTAAAAATACGTATATAATAAAATCAATGTACTCCTTGGTAGGAGTACAGTAAAATTTACAGTAAATTCTACTAAAAAAATCAAATGAAACAATAGTATGATAAATGCTTTTCTATTTCCTATTTCTAATAATTTAGAAATTATTAGAATTAGATACCTCCCACTAACAGGTAGTGTTGAAAAAGTCCATTTATAAAAATAGAAGTTGTCTTGACTGCAGCTATATCCACACTATGAAAAGGTGGAACCAATTCAGTCTGAGTGCTTTCAATCATCAGCTGTACATTAAGATCTGTCTGAGGATTTGGGTCAAACTTCTTCTTTATAAATTACTACCACCACCCCATTTCCTTTTCATTCACTGATTCTGACGTTACAACTGCATTGCCAGCACACTGAAAAAAAAAATTGTTTTCAATGCTCAAAGGTTAAAACAGACAATGATTACTATGAGAATACAGTCACATATTTCAGAATATACAGACAAAAAGATGGAAAATTTGAAGTTTTCCATCCAACCCTGAACTAAACCCTTTTTGTATCTTTTAAAAAGTTTGATAAGCAACTACCGTAGAAAACTCTCTCTTAATATTGCTACAGCATAAGAATAAACATTTCATATTTTGTCATAAAAAAACTACAGCACAGAATGCTCAAGTAATATTAACATTTCTCATGCTGTATCTTCTCTAAAGCATTAAAAATAAGCTCTTTCACTGTAGTAAACAGCTTTTCCCTGCTAAACTCACTCATTAACATGATTTTTATTTACTTTCTGGTGACATATCAGCAACACAGATGGTATCAGTCATAAAAATAGCATTAATCTGTTGAATGTCGCTGTAACAACACTAAAGAACCAAAGAATCATCCTCTTTCCTCCCCCACTCAGAAAAACGCTACTGTTTTTCACTTTCCCTACACAAGGGGGACTTTAAACATATTTAGGATATTTGCCTTTGTTCACACAAAGTAGACATTTTTAATCTCTTTAGAAAAAAATCAAATTAAGTTTCATGTAAGCAAGCTGACCCCTCTACTGTTAAAACACCAGGAAAGCTGTTAAAACACTTGTTAAAGCATTGGAAACTTTTGGGGGGACTCTACATTCTTAAACGTGGCCTTTAAGAAAAATATTACCTTCAACGCACTAAAAATACCCATTAGTCAAGAACCTGGAGCTTTTTAATTAACTTCTTGTTCTTGCACTTTATCCTGTTGTGTAACGCCTAACAAGGCTAACTTTTTTTTTTCTTTTTAATTTTATATGTAACCGGATTTCAATAGTAGCATTGCATGTTCGAGCCAACTTATTTCCCCTTGGAGAAGACTGCCAAAAAATAACCCGCTTAGGAGGTACTTTCTAGACCGTAACACATCAAATGATTAACAGGAAGAGAGGAAAACTATTAAAAAAAATGAATTACTCCACACAAAATTCCATCAGTTTTTCACCAGCTGTCAATAAACATTAAACCATTTTTTAAACAATCTATGAAAGATATAGGAACAGTATTACTTATCAGATAAGATGGTATAATTTCATTACCAAATTTCAAAATGTCACCTTGCCTGCTCATGCATACAAGCCAAGGAATTTGCCTGGACAAATGGAGCCAACACTATAAACAGGTAATTTCTCAAGAACTGATTGTATTTTAATATTGACAGTATCTCTCACAAGATTAAAGGCTAATTGTCTAATTATGAAATAAACTTTCGACCCAGCTATGACAGATTTCCAGTTCTAATCTGGACAATTTATGGAGCAACAGGGACAACTGACGGAGCACTTGTGTCACCACTGACTTCATTACCGCTGATGTTTCCCAGATAAAATAGAGCTTCTTGTTTTTCACCCTGTTTCAGAGCGATTTCATTGCACTGCAGCACTACGCCAAGGCTTCAATGTGCACCTTATTGTACCAGATTTACAAACATGGGTTACACCGGGGGAGGAGAAAGTGTTTTGGAATGGATGTTATGGAAAACTAAGGCAACCCACCGGAACAGGTAACTTCAGCAGCGATACCGAAAGCTCCTCAGAGAGGGAGGAGGGGAAGGCAGGGCACTTCCACTCCTCCTGCCCAGAGGGGACAGAGCACCCGGGAGCGGGGAAAGAAACGGCACCTCCACAAGGCAGGAGGCCGGCGGGGAGGCGAGCTCAGCGGGCCGGCGCGCACGGCGCCCGGCCAAACAAGCCCTTCCCGCACCGAGAGGCCTCCGGTGCTGCCCGCCCGCCCGCCGAGGCCGCAGCGAGGCGAGCCGCGAGC